CTACACACGAGTGCCATGACGGCCCTTGCCCAGTAGTCCCCGTATATAATCCCTTGTATACCCCCCCTTCAGGAGTTTACATAGATTATGGCTCATATGAAAGCAGCTGCAGGGGAAGGCATCCCCAGAACTAGCCCAGTCCTTGCCATCTTTCTCCTTCTCATTCCTCGTAGGGTTTAAGGTTTAGGATTTAGGGTTTCCCTAAATTAGGGATACCCTTTTGGCCGATGGCCGAAACAGCGCATTGTAGTAGTACCAAGGGTCCCACGTAGAACTTGAAGGTCGGGGATGCAAACTGGTGCAAACCCTTGCAGACCCTGCGCCCCAGATGTGCCTCAGGACTTGGACCCCAACCCTTAAGTCTCTACCCTCAAACCCTGAACCCTAGCCCTAAACCTTAAACCCTAAACCCTTGCAATGCTTCAAGAAGTGCCAAGTTGCGGAAAGAGAGCCTCGCTTCTATCCTTCAGCAGCCGAAAGAGCTCGGCGCCCTCAGGGACCCAAAGAGCCCAACCCCTTAATTAAGGAATAGGGTTTAGGGCTTAGGAATATAACCATACTGAGTGATACTGGGATCCCTAGCATAACAAGAATAATGGTCATAATAGTAACAATAGTCGCAATAATCATTTCATGGTTTTCGAATATACACCGAATGATGCTGGGACCCCTACTTAAACCCTAAACCCTAAACCCCATATAACCCATCATAGTAGTTTCCAATTTTCCATCATCCCCATATAACCCCAACAGTATGGTTTCAAGAGTATTCGGTGTTGGGCTCCCTTAGGCCGAGTGCAGGGCGTTACATTGTTGTTGACATCCCCAATGCAGATCCGCATGCTCTACTTGGAGGGTCAAGGGGACTTCGTGAGTAGGCTGATAACCCCTATAGCCCATATAGTAAGCCTAGATATCCCGCTTCTACTTCCTAAGTCCGCCTGACCCTTACTGGCTCTTGGGCAGGAATAAGGGAAGATAATCCCCATATAATCCCAAAACAATGTATTCCCATATTCCCTACTAGCCCGGTAAGCAAAGGGCGCTAACATCCCTTAAGATAGGAGTGGTCCTGATGCTACACCGCGGCTTTGACGGGCGGCTTTTCTCTGGTGCTTAAGGTTTTAGGGTCTAGGGTTTAAGGTTAGGTTACAGAACATAGGTATGTAGTAAATACTAGGGCTCCCGTATGGCAGTAAGTTAATTTGAGTTCCTTAAGACTCTTTTTTGGGTTTGGGCCATGCTGGGGATCTCAACACCCAGATTTACTACTGAGAGCTCCTCCGATTGCCGGCTGCTGACGGCAGAGCCATGCAGTTCCATACGGACGCTCCGGAAGACAGCTTTGGACAAGCAAGTTCTGGGGAGGAGGGGCTAACCCATGGAGGACTCTGTCGAGAAAGTTTCGCTGGATGCTTCACACTGTTGACTGTAGGGTTGGGCTCGGATAATGGTTGGAGTCTTTTGGTAAGTCAACGGGGTTTGCAGGCCGATGAGCCCGAGAGGGCTGAGTGCGGTGGGATGCATGATGATTGCAGCTGCTTATTCCTTTTGACCAAGGCACTTCGAAAATGGCATGTGTGGTACGTGCTGAACTCGCTTGTGCAGGTAAACCTTCTGAGCCAGGTTTGATCTAGTTGCATGCTCATGTCACCCATGGCTGCTACGAAAGCTGGCCAGAGCCCCAGAAGCTCCGTGAGGCAAGATTTAGTGTGCATGGTGCAAGTGTCGAACTTGGCTCACTTCGGACTGGCGCAGAAGGAATCGCTACTAAAGACTCCCGCTGGCTAAAGCACTTGCTCTTTTGAACCAATATGCAGGACTCCATGCCTGCGGTTATAAGCTCCTGGCTGCAAGCTGGGCGAAACTGCCGCCAAGGTCGATGAGCTCCTGATAGGTGCCTTGCTCCATGAGGCGACCCTCTGCGAGGACGAAGATCTTGTCCGAGTCACGGATGGTGGAGAGTCGGTGGGCCACCGTGATGCTTGTGGCCTGGATCTGCTTTAGAGACTGCTGCACCACCAGCTCCGACTGAGAGTCCAGGGCCGAAGTGGCTTCATCCAACAAGAGGACTTTAGGCTGGCGCAGCAGTGCACGGGCGATGGCACAGCGCTGCTTCTGGCCTCCACTCAACTTCTCGCCCTTCAGACCTACGCGTTCGGACCAGCGCTTCCTGCCAAGTCAAAACCGGCTTCACATTCTACAACAGAGCTTCCCCCCAAAAAAAAAAGGAAGCTCTTTTCAACAACTACCGTCCTGCCAGACAACACATAATCCATGTTGGCGGCTTTTGCGGCCCAAAGCACTTCCTCATGGCTGGCATTCGGTTTCCCATACTTGACATTCTCTTCCAAGGTGAGGTCGAAGAGGATCGGCTCCTGGCCCACCAGGGCCACCTGACTCCGCCACCAAGCCACATCCAGCGCCCGCAGGTCCTTGCCACCGATCATGACTGAACCTCGCTGCGGATCATAGAAGCGTAGGAACAGCTGGATGACCGTGGACTTGCCACTGCCGGAAAACCCCACGATGGCCACACGTTGGCCGGGACGGATTTGCAGAGAGAGGCGGTTCAAGACAATCACCTCGGAACGGTGTGGATAGTAGAAGACCACGTCCTGCAAACTGAGTGTCCCGTCCCCCAGGCTAGTGATGGTCCCATCAGTCTCCACGGCATCGATCTTGGATTCCAGGTCAACCAATCGAAAGACCTCCGCGGCAGCAACTGCGCCCGATGCAGAGTCTGGTAGGTACATGGCAATCATGCTCACACTCTGGAGGCCGAAGGTGACGCAGAAGAGAGTGAGCAACACCTGCAGAGCCCACACATCATCAGGATACACAAGCCCAATCCAAGCCCCTGACCTCCTACGTACTTGGCCAGCGGAAAGAATACAAACAGCCTCTCCGTCGGTGCCCTAGGTTTACATCACTGTGACATGCTGCTGTCATGCTCAAGCTAGCTTCCGGGAAGGAAATGATGAAATTGGGAACTTTGTTCTGCTGAGAGACCCTTAACACAATATGGCAACGCTTGTGCTGGGAGGCCGATGGCATGGGAGTAGGGCATGGCTGCTTCCTGACTTTATTACAAAATTTGCGCGCTGGATACCTTCAGTAAACCCCCCATAGTGGCTCTGAGGGATACTAAGGACTATATCAGGGTCTTCTTATCTTCCTATTATACCACTATTGGGGTGTCCTCCTGGTGGATACCCCTCTTCCCTACAAGCCAGCAGCCAGCTCAGCCTCCCCTGGGCCTCGGAGGTTCCCCTGGAACCCTGGTAGAAATCATCATTTTCACTGATTCTTAGGATTGCTATAGATAAGAGAGATTTCAAAACTTTTTTGGGAAGTTGCAGTCATTCCTATATGACCCATATAATCTGTATGATCGTTTCCTTGAGTAGGGAGACCCCCATATAGACCCCAATGCATGATAATCCTTATTACCGGATTCCCCAAAAAAGCCCCCCCTGTCTTGAGAAACCCTAAACCCATATCCCTAAACCCTGTATACCCCTTTATAACCCCTATGAGCCACCTTTAGTCAAACATACCCCTAACTTTCGGAAACCCCTATGCAACCCATTATAAGCCTTAGCTCCCAAACCGCCTGATCAGCGTCGAAGCGTTGGCTGCCAATCATCAGCGCACTGAGCCAGAAGCCTTCGCTGTCGGTTAGGGTTTAGGGTTAGGGTGCAGGGTTTGATATTCGGCTGCATCTTCCCTGCGAAATTGAACTGATTAAGCCCTAGAGTCCATATCCTCGGCCAATACAAGTCATAATGGCCCCAGAAGACCCCTTAAAGCACAGTTACTCTAAGATTGAAAAGCCTCAACCCTGTATGAGCTGTAATCTAAACTCCTTAAAGGGGGATTATAAAGCGGGCTGTTATGAAGATCATTAAGGGGGATACTAGGAGTTTAGACTATGGCTGCTATCACTCCGCAACCCTCAACCCTACATACACCCAAAACTCCAATTCCTAAATGAACCCTAAACCCTACATGAACCTCAAACCCTAGACCCTGTACGAACCCAAAACACTACTGAAACCCTCAACCCCATACCAACCCTAAACCCTCAACCCTCGTTGAAGCCTCTAACCGTTTCCCAAACTAGGTAGCTCCAATATAGACCTCAATATATTTGTATCCTTATTTTTGGTACCCCCACCACGAAACCCCCAATCTTGGCAAGTCCTAAACACTAAACTCCCTTTATGCATGTGGACTCTGAGCAGCCGGCAACAAACGCCCCGACTCAGGACTGCTGCCCAAGACGTGATGATGCCCTAAACCCCCTAAACCCCAAATCCCTAAACCCCGAAACCCCAACACCCTACACCCTAAATCCCCAAACCCTAAACCCTAAACTGTGTGGATAGGTAAGGAGCCCATCAGATAGACCAACATCACCAGGCCCGAGCTAAACCCAAACGCGAATGCCTCTGGCCAAGGAAGAGGGGGGAAGTGCTTTCCAAGCAGATGGGATTGAGGGTTTAGGGTTTGGAGTTCTTGGGTTTTCGAGCTTTAGAGTTTTGTGTTTTTAGGTTTAGGAGCTTTTTTAGGAATATGAGAGCTATGTCGGGACATATAAATTTTGGGGTTCATATGGGTTGAGTGTTTAGGGCATTTCTATGGGACCTTTCGCCTCCCTTCGTCTCGCCAGGTTAGAACGCCCACAGGCCCCTGTCCATACCCTATCTGCACGACCTTTGGCTTTCACACAACCATACTCGTACTTCCACCACCCTTCGACAATCCCTGGGAAGGGAAAAATGGAAACTATCATGTTGTTTGCAGGTTAAGGCTGCTAAAGAAAGGGTTCCCGGTTTCGGGGGGTGAAGAACAATGAAGACTCAAATGGGAAGCCAAATGGGAACAAGCGTCATATACTGGATGATGCAGGGGTCGCCTGCCCCCGCACTGCTAAGAAATGTTCCCAACATAGTTCCATGATATAGTAGACCAACGTATATGCCTAGGTCGTGGGGGAGTTTACGGCTCGGACGAGGTGACTAGGCAAGAATCCGTGTGCAAAGCACTCAAAGCACTCATGTGCAACCATGTTACCTCTAAACCCCAAACCCTCAAACCCAAAGCCCAAAGCCCTAAGCCCTCAGCCCCAAATAGTGGCTTCCATTCTCTTCTCCAATATCCCTCATCCAGGTTAAGGCTTGCGTGTCATGGGAATTCCCAATTGTCGGCCTCAGCATCACACGGTTTAGGGTTTAGGGCACAGGGCTCAGCATGCCTTTGTCACCTCCTTACAAGCTTCAACGGGCCCGCCGCGGCCTTCTTGCAAGCCACGCCCTTGTGAAAGTTTGACATCACCTGGCTGCTGACTTGATCTGGGAAGTTTACCTAATTCGGGTCCCATTTTGGCACCCCTAAATGGCAGGTGCCATACGATAATCTATGACCAAAAGGCGCCCACTTTTTTTGGAGTTGACGCATCCGTAATGTCGTTCGTGTCTGTTTTGTCCAAAGTGCAGCTGACCTGTACCTGCCTAGTGTAGTCAAAACACCAAGGCCATGTATGCCACGAAAGAAGTTCCTTCCTTTTTGTGAAAACCCCCACAGAACGAGGAGCATGGCTTTGATAAACTACACACATCCCGGTACATCCCTACGACTCCCCTGACCCTAAAACTAAATTATTCCACTGTGGCCTATTGTAGCACATATAGAATGTTCATTCTTAAGAGACTCCGCTTTGGGTTTGCTTAGGAGTCAGAGCCCCAGGCCTGAAGGAGGTTGCTGGTGATATCCAGCGTGTGCTCTTCCGCACCCAAAGCCCTGGCAGCTGAGATTTTGTAACAACTTCCCGGCCAGGTTGGCATGTTTTAGGTTGGGCCCCCAACCCACTGATAGTGCACAAGGGGGGCCTGTTTATTCCTATATCCCATATAATAGTCCCCTATACAACCCCCTTTAAGGAGCTTAGACGATAGCTCCTATGTAAAGCTTGTTAGGCCGAATCCGCGAACAGACCCGGACGATCTCCCCTTCTGGCCTCACGGTGCGGATGGACATCACCTCGATTCCCATAGCCAGTGCATATGAATTTTCGTGATGTCCAGTCGCCATACTGAGCATGCCATGGTAGCAGCAGCTATAATATAATATAGTATGGTATACTATAGGATAGTGCAGAATAATGAGAATCAAAAAATGTAGTATAATGTTTCAACGGCCCCAGGGCGAGATATACCTTGCGTTGCATTAGGATTGAACATCTGGCGGCCCTGGTATCAACCTCAGGACCACGCCTCCCACACCACACACTTGGAGGGTCCCGGGGACTTAGCAAGTAGGTTAATAAAGGAATAAGTGGGGTTACTATATGGGTTATAAGGGATATTAACCTACCTACTAGGTCCCGCTGACCCTCCAAGTAGGGTTTAGGGTTTAGGCTTGCTGCTCACTGCTCTTGCAGGCCTCACGTCAAAAACCCTCCGCTAGTAACCGGTGTATGGAAACTCCCTTGTGCGCGACGAAGCTGTGACCCGGTGAAGATATAGTAGTTTCTCTAAATATGGGACCCCAAAATAAGACCCAAAATACTATGATCCTTAATATCGGGACCCCAAAAGAAGTACCAAAAATTTTGGGAAACCTCCATATCCCTTTATAACCCAACAATGGCTGCGGAATCCTCCCTCCAGAGTCTACTGGGTTTAGGGTTTAGGGGTTCAGGGTTTAGGGTTTAGGATTCATTTTTTTTAAGCGCTGGTTTCACCTAGCGTCCAGGCGAAGGCCCTTGTGGACCGAGCGAAGTTCGTAGGGTTTAGAGTTTAGGCACTGGATGGTTCATTGATAGCGATAAAGTGGGGTCAACAGTCCCCTAAGCTAAGCTATCAGTACAGCACAGCCATCAAATTATAACCTAAACTTTTTACTGGCCGTGAATGAACCTCAAAGTATACCATAAAGCATAAACCCTACACCTCACTAGCCGTTCAAACAAAAGATTATTTCAATTTTGCTTTCCATTCCCCTGTGCAAACCCAGCTTCCATTTCTTGTTCCATGTGGCTTTCCATTTTCCATTTGGCTTTGTGTTTGAGTCTCCATTGAAACTACAAGGAGGGGAACCAGATAGGGACTAAACCCTAAACCCCTGAATCTCTGAGTACATACTATCATTCGGAATATCGCTAAACCCTGTACATCCTCTGTCTACTTTCTACATAATTTCTATCTTATCCCCTATATCACCCTCATTAGAACCCTAAAGCCCTAAAACCCTAAACCCCTAAACCCTAAACCCCTAAACCCTAAACCAGGGACCTGGCTCCTCCGAATGCTGAGCACGGGACGGCCTCGGAGACGGTCCGCCCCGTCATGGCATAGGCCGACTCCGCGGCCGGGGAGAGCTGCCAAATTGAGGGTTTGAAGGTTGTGGTTTAGGTGGACCCCCCACCCAGTACTAGTGACTATAAGGGAACCCTGTTAGGGTTTAGGGTTTGGGGTTTAGGGTTTTAGGGTTTTAGGGTTAGGGAAGTAATAATGACTATAAGGGAGAATAAGGACTATAACAGGGTCCCTTTACATTCCTACTATACCACTCTTACAGGGTGGGGGGTCCTCCTATTTTGTGGTTTAGGTAGGCTTACAGGGGAGTAGTAGGGAACAAGGGGATATAACATGTGTAGATGTATATGTATACGGTTAAGGGGAGTAGTGGGGAGCAAGGGGATATTATACATATATATATATGTGTGTATATATATATATGTATATATATATATATATGTGGTTTAGGGTTTTTCGGGGAGGAAGTGGATATAATCCCGAGGAATCCCTACTTCGAGTATTCCCTCATTCCCTGCCAAGCCCAGTAAGCTGAAGGCTGTGTTTTAGGTAGGGCGGTGGGGGAAAAGAGATTTTGGGTTGAAGGACTTTGCGGCCTGCAGGATTTTCGGGGTTTAGGTTTTAGCCTTGAAGGGCTTCTGATTAAGGCTTCGGGGTTGTGTACTAAACATGGAAGGCTGGGGGCGTTCCCAGCTGGATGCAAAGGGCGCAAACCGGTCATGATGTAGAGCTATGTAGGGGTTGCGCGAATTCCCCTGGAAGAACACCGCATAAATTCCTTCACCAACGTTCCCACAGAGCCTAGAAGGTCGCACGAAAACGGCATGGGTAGCGTGTATGGATTACATAGCGCATAGCTGGACATTCAACGTATGGAACTGCACGAATGTTAGATCCGAGTTATACGGGGATGACAGAGAACATCGATGGGGTCTACACACTGAACGACATGGCGGCAGGACACGCTGGACTCTTAAGTAGGATCTGCCGGATTGTCAACAAAAATATGAAATATACTTGGGATTTGATGCCCCAAGCATTCCTGTAGTTCTCCATAGTTTTTTTGAAGGGCTATCCGAGCCTTCTGGGCCATGATAGAAACGGACATGGCCAAGAAGCCGCATATGGGTAGAACGGCCAGGAGGATGGCAGCAAGAAACCTTCGTGGACGCTTGGTTTCTGAAGCTAGGGGTACCGCCCGGGGTCCTAGGGATGCTGCTGCAGATGATACAGGGAAAAGGTTCTATTAGGGTTTAGGGTTTAGGATCTAGGGATCTTATGGATTGGGGTTTAGGGTTTAGGGTCCGGGCTTGTTAAGATTTATGGCTTTCAATCCGCAACTAGAGCCTTATAGGATACCCTTGCAAAGAACCATCTTACGCGCCATCTTCTACCTGGAGGTTCCGGGGATCTGAGTAAGCAATTTACTAATGGGGAAAACTGGGGTTCTGATGATGCTTCTATGGATTGTTAATATGCTTACTAAGTCCTGTGGAGGTTTACGTTTCTCTTGAACGGTTAGTGTCAGCACAAGCTGAGCTGAATGGGCTTGGGGGTCAGGCTTGTTAGCAGGTCTAAGCCCCAACAACAACGACATGGCTTCCGTCCAAGATTTGGGGGTTTCCTAAAATGAGGGGTACCATTTTGGGGGGTCCCTATAATCAGG